CGCGGCCCTGCCCTCCTCTGCCCACCCCGGCCCAACCTCCCCTCCCATCCCCCCGTCCCTCTGCCCATCTCTCCCTCTTCTCTCCAACTCCCTGCCGCCCTGATGGCAGAGAGGCAACCGCGAGTGGTACGACAGGATCCTGAAGGCCAAGAGCCCTCCAGAGCAGGTGCGGCTGTGGGCGGGGTTTCAGCGCGGCGGTGCAGGTGGCTGAGCGGTTGGTACCAGCCAGGCTTCTTTGCAGCCAGGGCTGCAGCGCCTTACTGGACTCGTTGAGCTAGCCGACGCCATCTACGACGACCTGCAGTCCTGCTATGGCGTCTATGCCAGCCTCTTCCACAGGTGGGCTGACTCCTCCCAGCTGGCGCGGGCCTGGGGCTGGAGTGGGGGTGGGAGCAGGTGGCTGAGGCGTGCCCCTTGCAGCATCCTCAAGGTGGACTTCTTCACCCTGACCTTCCGGCAGCTGGAGCGTCTGGTGAGGAGGGTCCCTGACCCTGGAACTGTTGGGCATGGGGGAGCAGGGAGAGGCCCCCGACGGGGAGGGCCCTGGGTTTCCTTGCTGCCTGTGGCCTGGTCTCACCCTCCTGGACAGGTGGCTGAGGAGGCATGGGTGCTGACAGAGGAGCTGAGCCCCAAGATGACCCTTGAGATGGCCTCGGGGCTCTGTGAGCTCTACCTGACGCTGGCGGACCTCCAGCGCTTCTGGGGCAGCATTCCTGGCCGGTGGGTGCCCCATCACCCCACCTCCTGCAGACAGGCTCCAGGACGGAGCCCCCAGGCTCTGTGGGGGAGCTTCCCTTGGTGTCCTGTCGGTCTGTGAGCCTGGAACATCCAGGGCTAAGGCCAGCCCTGACTGGTCTCCTGCCACAGGGACAGCCGCTCTCTGGCCCTGGCGGGCATCCACGTCCCGTTCCTGCCTGCTGTAAAGCTCTGGCTGCAGGTGCTTCCAGACCAGGCCAAGTGGCGGTTTCAGAGTGCTGTGGATGTGGACACGGTGAGTGCCTGGGCCTGAGGACATGGGGGCTCTCTGTGCCCCCAGCAACCCAGGCCTCCTCCTGCCTTCCCAGCTGGAGCCTGTAGATGCCACCTCCAGGCACAGCAACTCCGCGACCACCGCCAGCCTCTGCTTTAGTCTCATTCAGGAGCTCTGGGCCCGCCTGGCGTGGCCCGACCCCACCCAGGCCCGGGGTCTGGGCACCCAGCTCAGCCAGGTGCGTGGGCTCTGGGCAGAGGGAGACCAGTGGGGGGCGGGCAGAGAGTCTGGGAAGGCCCACAGCTCCCCACCTGTCTGTTCCCAGGACCTGTGTGAGGCCACCCTCTGCTATACGGAACTGCTTCGGAAGAGGGTGGATGCCCAGCCTGGTGCAGCCGGCGAGGCAGTAAGTGAGCCGGTGAGTGACTGAATGGGCCGTGGGGCTGGCGGGAGGCTGGACGGCATCCCCAGACCCTCTGCCTATCCACATTTGGCCACCCCCCCCC